TTCTGCATTAAGGAAACTCAGCATCAACAGTAATCAGAAAATGCTCAGATCTCATAGGTGGGTCTGGTGTAAATTGCATCCTCATTATCTGCCAATGTTCCAGAAAAACAAGTCTTCCCTAGCCCATGTGGACCCTCATAGTGGTGGGTTAAAAGTACCCAAGTACATTAATCAGCCATATTAATGAAGTTGCACAGTTGTTCCAGATATTTGAAGATGTCTATTAAATGAAACATGTTAAAACATACAGAGAGAGAGAGAGAAATTATTCATTTGTTTGTAACATAAAGCATCTCTAATATATTGTTTAAGTTACTTACCAGCCACAGTTTATTGATGAACTGGTGCAATGCTCTGCAGTTGATGAAAATTGACATATGCGATTTTTAAAATTTAAAGAGTGTAAAAGTTATATTGTTCAAAATCTATATTGCTCATGTCCTTGTGCTATTTTGAATAATTCAAAGTCCATTAATAAATTGAGCAAGATTTATGTATATTAATCGACCTAACATGTATTCGCTCATGATTCGAAGTGACGAATAGGGCATGTAAAAGTGAGCAATGCTCATAATATATGGCTAATTCTGCTTATGAGCAAGAGTTTACTGAGGAACGGTGGGATGCTCTGTGGTTGACGACAATTGACATGCAATTCTTAAAATTTAAGTAGGTACCTGGGGTTAAAATAGCGTGCTGATTGTAGATTCTACCAAAGCTGTTCCAGACAATATCTCCATGTCAATGAAGCAAAGAGAGCAAACGCAAGCACAAGAAGACAAACAACACGCGACAAAGGGGAGAGCCCGGGCCAAATAAACATTATCCCGTGCACCCTCCCCACAAACATGAAATTCATTATCTTTTATTAATGATTGGTGACCTGCCATGCAAGCGCACCTGTCATGGCAAAGGCCAAGATGACAAACGATAAAACAGGACTTGCCCTCTCAAAATAGGGCCTCCGTCCAATATGTCTCTTTACATCATCTATTAAAAATTTCCTTCATATCAATTTCAAGTATAATAGGCTGCAAATCAGTTTCCCAATCTGAGTATTTTTTTCACAAAGGAGTGGCAACCCACAATCAATCCGACATGGATTAAGATGTACAGCTTGTCTATGCAGCTCCGAGCTCCCGAAATTCCAATCGATTGTCCGTCCTGGAAATTGTTTAATCAGAAGCAAATATCGATAACAAAAATCCCCCAGCAAACAGTAAACACCAAAAAAATTCGAAGAAACAAAGTCGATGAAAAGTGCTAAAGAGAGAACCAATAAATTAAGGCTAATATATGAGACCTGCATGGTGACGAATGCAGCATCCTTTAGCTCATAGAATAGAAAAACAGGAGACTATATATTCAATAGGGCTGGGAGGAAAATTGAGTATTTATAGGAGGGTTAAGGAAGGAGACGGATCCTAATAGACATCTAAGCGTTGTACGCAGGCGGAGCGACAAAGGCGGTTGAGCGGGCCAACATTGTTGCTAATTAGGAATAATATTTTTTACTGCAATAATTAATAATTATACAGTAAGTATTTAATAAAAATAAATTTTGTAAATATTTTCCCTTTTTCACCTTCACAATTACCATAGTTTCAAGTTACTCTTTCAAATTTAAGAAATTTGTGAAATTATTTCAAAAATCAAGTTATCACAATTAAATTTAAAACACAACAAAAAGGAAAATAAAAATTTTCTTTTCTCTTTCACTTTCATAATTTCCATTGTTTCAAAATACACTTTCAAAATTAATTGTTTCAAAAAATCAGCTGATCATAGGGATGTCAATAGGTCGAGCCGAGTAGGCGCACGAGCCAAAATTCTAGGCTCGGACTTGGCTCGGTTAAAATGTCCGAACTTTTTTCAGGGCCCGAGCCAAAAAAATTAGGTTCGACTTGAGCTTTCGTCTGGGTTTTTCCGAGCTGAGCCGGGCAGACTCGATTTTTTTTTTAATTAAATAGGCAGCAACCTACTGCCTATTTTTGGTAGCAAGTAGCGTGTTGCTGCCTTTAATTTTTTTTGGTTAATATATGCTCGGTTCTCCCGAGCCGACGAGCTACATGGGCCGACTTGGACTTTGCCTGACACATAAAAATGGGGCTCGGTTCTCCCAAGCCTCAAGCTGAGCAAACTTGAGCTTTTTCCGAGTCGAGCCACGAGCAACCCCAACCGACGAGCCCGATTGTCATCCATAGGTGATCACATTGTAAAATTGTGACTCATTAATTAATTAAATAGGATAAGATCACAATAACATATAATTTATTATCACAACCACGTATTAATCACAAATCACACAAATTCACAATCACAAAGATATAAATTGTGAGTCAAAATTACAAATTTAATCCTACATCACACATTTATATAGGTCACAACTTATTTATCGATCACAAATTACAAAATTAACTTCTCATAATTACCCAATGAGCAACTCACAAATTACTTTTCATCTCCCGTACCTCATTCCGTCCCACTCCACCATCATTGGCACCACACAAATCATCGTCGAATCCTCAAATACGCAACCCATCACCACCACTTTCACCTATAATTTACACCCACCACCTTCTCATTCACCTCAAATCCACCCCCAACAAATCTTGACCAATCAAATTGACTATCTAGACACACACAAATACAATAAGTAATGAATATACATCCACTGTCAATTTGGGAGAGAAAAGGGATCCAGAGTAGTCAATTGATTTCTAGAAATAACCGAGGAATTTATGAAATTCTAGTGCGATCCCTAGGGTGGAGTTGGTGATCAATAGTGTTGGATTTACTTAATCATGAACAGCGGAAGATAAAAATACATTTCAATTTCCATCAAGGATCTATTTTCTTTAGATAAAATTATAATAAAAATTATACATTTGTTGAATTTTGCAAACTCCTCTACTTTTTTATTCTAGCAATCTTGATTTACAATCTATAACTATCCAATTGTCTAACCTCCAATAAAAATCCACATAATGAACAACATTGAGAAAGAACCAGGGTTTTACTTTTATTATACTAGCAAGAATAATGAAAATTTGTACAGTATTCAAACCCTAGCAGCTTATTTATATAAGTCCAAACGGGCTTGACCCGTCTCTTTGACTCAGTCCAATATTTAATTAAACCAATTAATTAAATTTGGTCCAAAATTAATTAATCTAATTAATTTATTGCATATTAATAAGCAATCTGATTAATTGATTATCCAACACTTGTGAAGTAATTAATTGGTAAATAACATTTTTCTAGTTCTCCTTTTGTGTGTGACCAATTGGGTTGCTAATCACAATACTTAATGATGCAAATTATTATTTTGATCTACTTAAAATAGACAAATGGAAACACAAAATTTAATTTATCACTAATTCATATTCGTCGTCCCAGATTGATATCTAGCAATGTGTTATGGCAATACACATGACGGAAAATGTCACGTGGTATGACAAAATCAAACTTGTTCATCTACCGTGAAACTAAAATTAATTTGTCAACATGTTTCGATCAATTATGAGATATGGAAGTGTGTCAATTTCGATTATTGATCATATCTTTCACCCTACTATTACGTCAATGTAAGTTGAAAACTCATTTTCGATTTATGAGTACATTTTGGCTAAGAATTTCATTATTAACTTAATTGAATGAAATGTAAATTATAATTTCTTACCATTTAAGAGTAACGAATCCTCTATTGATCATTTACAACTTTTATATGACTTTTGACATACCCAAATGATACTGTATTAGCGGTCCTTGACAGAACAACATCTAATATCACCAAAGTATGATTGTCATCATATAAGGCACTATAATGACCTCAAGTCAAATGACCAAATCAGTATCGAATGTTAGAGATTAACTACTGACACTCCGATAGTTATTCATGTGGAATCTCTCAGAGGGTCTCCAATATTTTGTTCTATAAAAACATCTCATGTTCATTTAAGTATCACCACACTTTAGCTTGTGAGATCAGACACTTTACAAATAAGTAAGAAATACCACACATAATGGTTTATCCGTAATAACGATATTCATATCTCGTTATTAATTACGACCACGGATGATTTAAGATTCAATCATATGTAATTTGTATCTCACAATCATAATTATTTATGATTAACAAGTTACCAAGATTTAAATCTACATACTCTATTATTTAATTTAATTGATTATTAATTAAACAATAGATATGACATAAAATTGCATCAATTATATATCAAAAGTGTTATGTCCAAAGTTGATTAGAGCATAACACCTACAAACTCCCATTTGCACTAGATCCAATCACTTATGTATTTAATATCTTAAGAGTTTAGATGACGATCATGTTTATACTGCGATAACTCTTTATCAGTGGGTCTATGATATTATTATTTGTGGGAGTTTTTTCCTTTCTTTATGTCATTTGTTTGTATTATCTCTTTGATGAGATGATACCATCTTAACATATGTTTTGATCATTGATGAGATCTTAATTACTTCGCTTGCCCGATGGCTATATTGTTATCACAATATAATGTTATCAACAATGTTACTCCAGGTTCATTAATGAACTTCTTGGTCCACACTGCAACTCTTCGCTACTTCTGAATCAATGGTGTATTAGGTTTTTGCTATTGAATCAACAGTTGATTTTTATTTGGAACCTTTCCAGCACATCGCTTAAGAGTAAACCAATATCCTGATTAAGATTTGCTATCATTCTAGTATGATTAAAAGTTAGCATCAGTGTATCCATGAACTCTTAGTTCATTTTCTCTATAATCTCTGTAAATTGGGGTGAGTTAAGCAATATTTTGAATTTATTTCTATAGATTAAGTTGTTTCTTCCGTATCTTTCATGAAAAAATCCTTTAACAATCACAATTTCAACGATTGAAGCGTAGGGATATCGTTTCCTATTAATAATGTCTCATACATATATTATTAGGAATGCAATAATGCTCCCACTATCTTCTTATAAACATACATTTCATTTTCATTTTTAATAAAATCAAACATTTTAATTGTCTCATCAAAATGAAGATTCCAGCTCCTAGAGGCTTGCTTTAACCCATAAATGGATCGATCAAGTTTATATACCTTGTTGGCTTCTTTGGATTCAAAACCTTCGGATTGTGTCATGTACACTTCCTCTTGTAAGTTTCCATTAAGAAAAGTAGTTTTGACATCCATTTGTCATATCTCATAATCATGGTACACAGCAATTGCAAGCAAAATCCGAATGAATTTTAGCATAGCTACAGTCGAAAATGTTTCATCAAAGTCATCATCTTGTCTTTATTTGTAACATTTTACTACTAGCCTTGCTTTGTATGTATGTGTATTCCATCCATGTCAACCTTTTTCTTGTAAACTCATTTACAACTTATGCTTTTTATCCCATCGGGAGGATCATCAAGGTCCAAACCTTGTTTTCATACATTAAGTTCTTTCGGATTCCATGGCCTTCTACTGTCTCTTTGAGTCAACATTTGACTTTATTTTTGCGTAATTAATAGATTCATCATCTCGATTAATAATACTTGATTAGTAATGGTAGATTCGTACTTTCTTGAAGGTCGAATAATCCTACTAAATTTAAATAGAGCTGACATGTCCTTAGAAGTCTCTACTTCCTGACCAAGAGTATATCCCTTATCAGGAGTTGGATCAAACTCAGATTCATTTACTTGGTCAACTATATCTGTGAATTCTTGAACTCCTTCAAGTTCTATTTTGCTTCCACTGTCCTCTCTTAGAATGAACTCTTTCTCTAGAAATATGGAATGTCTTGAAATGAACACAATCTTCTCAACGGGATTATAGAATTTATATCCACATATCTATTTTGGATACCTTAAAAATATGTATTTATCAAATATAATCTCAAACTTATTCAATTCAATGCGCTTCGCATAAACATCACAACCTCAAACTTTTACATGAAATGATCTGGGTCTTTTTCCCTTCCATAACTCATATGGAGTTTTGTCAATTGATTTAGATGGAACATGATTTAGTGTGCAGCACCCAGTAATTAGTGCATGACCCCAAAATAATAGTTTACAATTCCTCGTTTCAGATACATCATTATGTTGTAGTGTGTGTGGAAGAGTCCACTGCAAGTGAATTTCATTCTCTTTTAGATAATCTAAAATTTCATTTACCTCAATTTGATCTTAACGTGAGAATACATTTTTCTATTTGTTTCTGTACTTCTAACTTGAATCCCTTCAACTTTTCAAGAGCTTCATACTTGAATTTTATCAAGTATACATGAATATTTTAAAAATGATCGTAAGTAAATGGATGAAATAAGAGAAATTCATTTAGTATTAATTGACATAGGTCCAAATACATCACTATATATTAGACCAGTAATTATGCAAACCTTTCTTATTTTCAAGTAAAGAGATATTTGGTCATTATGTCTAACAGACATGATTCGCACTTGTCAAATTATTCAAAATCAGTTGACCCCAAATATATATCTCAATAAAATTTTGGAATTGCATTTTCATTTATGTGACCAAGTCTGCAATACTAGATTTAGGTATTATTCATATTATCACTTTTATCCTTCTAAATTTCTATACATATTATATAATACTTAGAGCTTGTTCTCTTTACCGTTTTTGGGCGTTTTCTATTTTCGATTTTTCAAAACGGTGAAAACGTGTTCTCTTTCCCATTTTCGAAAATGAATTTTCGAAAACGAAAAAAAAATTGTGAAGAAAACACGAAACAACTTTTTTGTCGTTTTGGGCGTTTTCAGTGTAAAACTTGAAAAATTTGAAAACGCGGGAAACACCTTTTTTTTATTTATTTATTATTATTATTATTTTTTTTTTTTGAGGAGGTGGTGTGGTGATTCTCAAAATTTCAAAAAAAAAATTCATTTTGTTTTTGTTTTGAGAAACTAACAAGAAGAACGTATTTTCAACAATTTCAAAACAAATACTCAAAACACAAAACTCAAAATGAATTCAAAACACAAAACTGAAAAACAAAAAGAACACCCCCTTAGTATTTAGAATATAAATGTCATTTTGTAATTTACCATAACCATTAAAATCCTTTATCAAGATAAAAGGGAATAACAGTTGTCCTTAACATTAAAATAGTTCATGTTCGAATATGAAATTCATTTAATGTTACAGTAATGGTGGGAATGAAAGAACATTTCTCTAATTCCAAAACTAAGCTTAAAGGCAATGGCAAGAAGTATGCTTCTACAAGCAATGCTGCTACCTTAGCTCATCTTCAATGTGCAGGTCAATTTCTTCCTTTTGCAGTGATCTACTTCTATCTGGTTTCTCCATATTTGTATAAATATGATATCCAGATATGGTATCAAATACCTAATAAGCTAATGAAGTATATATAAGCTTTGCAATCTTTCTTCCAATGACCTTTCATTCTGTAATGATAACAAGGGTCATTAGATTTGGTATTGTCCTTCTTTGCTTTGATCGTCTTAGCTATCTTGGATGTTTTCCTTAAACATTCTTTAGACTTTCTTTTAGTACCCTTAGAGGAATCAATGGTTTCCCCACTACTAACTTTGATATTTAGCTTAATAGTCTTAAACATGTGTTCATTCGAGCTTACTCATATCATAATTCATAATTAATATGAATAAATCTTTGATAGAGATTGTAGAACTAAGTCAATACTTAGTTCATGATTCATGACTGAATCTAATTGAGACAACTTCTCAATGCGAGGAAATCTCCCCAATGGTCACTGAATTTTGTAGAAAATCCCCTAAAAGGTCACCAAATTTCAATACGTCCCTAAATGATCACTGAACTTTATCGAAGACCCCCAAGAGGTCACCGAACTTCAAAACCTCCTTAAATGGTCACTGAACTTTGTCGAAGTTCCCCTGAAAGGTCACTTAACGGTGCAAATTGGGACCCCATACATAACTAGTTTAGTGGCCTCCTAGGGACTTTTTGCAAAGTTCAGTGACCATTCAGGGATGTTTTGAAGTTCGGTGACCTCTTGGGGGGACTTCAAAAAGGTTCAGTGACCATTTAGGGACGTATTGAAGTTCGGTGACCCCCTAGGGGATTTTCTGCAAAGTTCAGTGACCATTGGGGGATTTCCTCTCTCAATGCCAATCATCTTTGGTACATGATTGTTGACTGAAGATCCCTCTATCATTTTGCAACGGTATGTTTGCTCGAAAGTCTCATATCGTTCCACACATGATCATTATCATATAACTCTTTGAAATGAAAAATCATTTGTTTGCATCATACTCTCATGTTGTTTTTATTACTTAGGTAACATAATTGTGAGCATCATACTAATCTTACCAGTCAGAAGGAGGATACTTACTCTGATGGTTGTCGTCACATTATCTTCCCGGCTCAGTCGCCTAAAGCACCTCACCCATCCGAGTTCATGAGAAAGCGATTGTCATTAATGAGACCACCAATCCCAATTGGCATCCCAGTACAAACAGAGAGCATCCAAGGCTTCCCTATATTCGACCATGTTACATAATGGTTTCACTATCAGGCAGGACCCCAGACATAAGAGTGCACTAAATCAAAAAGAGAACCAGAAACAAACATCATACTAGAGGAATAAGTAGGGCCAACTTTCCAGTTTAGAGGCCATACATGGAGACAACTCCGACACAAGGACACTATTTATGATTCCACTACGAACTAAAGTACTCAAATGATCATGTGATAGATGATCAAGCTGACGATGTTATAGATTATCCAAAGAAGAAGAGGAAGACATACCCAAGCAAGCAAATCCAGTAGCAGAAGAAGGAAGATGAAGACGGTCCATGTAATTGAGCTCCCCACGCTTACAACCATGACGAATTAGGGAGCTAGAATGACGATCCTGCACGGAGCAAGAAGAAGCATAAAGTGAGATAATGCAATCATGATCGATAAGTTGGCTCAGAAAAAGAAATTCATAGACAACTTAGGAATATGTAAAAGAGAGAGAGAACAAAACATTAGCTAGTGGTGGTAATGGCTCCGTGGTGAGACACAGAGAGTAGAGATCCATATGTAGTAAATATAAGAAGGGACTTTTGTAAGGGTAAACATGAGGCATGAATAGAGGCATCAGAGTCAAGGATCTAAGAGGGCCTAAAAAGACCTGTGCAGTCAGTCGAGGTAGATAGTGCAATGGTGGCATGTCTAGTCTATGGAGTGGAGCCTCCAAGTTGGGAGACCTTTAGGATCTGTATAAGTTGTGCCAAAGACACTGGGGCCTATGTACTAAAGGAAAAATTGTAGGGGCTGGAGTGGCTACGACATCATCGAACATCTCTATTATCTTAGACCCAGCAGAAGGAGTAGCAGCACTGCAGAGGTGAATTCTTGCCTGTGGAGATCAGCTTGCTTCTTCTTGGCATAATCCTTGAGCATATGGCCCCAGGCATGGCAACAGCGGTACCCAGGCTGAAATGCATGACAGCTAGAACAATCACGGGAAGCAAAGGGCCCAGAGGTAGAAGATCGGGAACTAGAAGCAGCAAGCACAGTAGCTAGCTTAGCAGAACAGGAGGAGCCCAAGACTCGCAGATGAATCTCTTAAGCTATAAGCTTTGAGAGTGAAACATCTAGATTAGGTAAAAGAGATTTGTGTAGTAGCTGACCTCTGGTTGACTCAAACTCTAGGCTAAAGTACATGAAGAACTGAAATAGAGTTGCTGATCTCGAGCCTTCTGCTGCTTCTTAGAGTAGCCACCAGATCAAAATATAGAAAAAAAATCCTCCTCCATGGAGGAGGGCTGGTGCCAATGGTAATCATTATTGTGTAAAACTCTTGGGTAGGCCGATTGTCTCGATGTGCAGTAGAGAGCTCCTAGAACACCATATAAGCAATGGCAAGGCTGGTCTTCTTAGAATTTATATTGAATCTAAATTCTAAAGAAAGAATGAATGAAAGAAAGAAAGGAGAAGAGAAGAAGAAGCTGTGACACCAATAGCAAATTGCCCAAGAAGCGAAAGCGTTGAAAGTCGCCAAGAGAATCCTACAGAAATGAAGGCAACAATGAATGTTTCTGTGGAGGGGCTACTAAAAGAGAGAATCAAAGATTGGCTTAGCCATCCCCTACAGAAGACGCCGACCATTTGTTGAGGTTGAAGTACAATCCTCCCAGGATAAGATGCCGAAGGGAAGAATGGGAACAATTGCTGGCCAGAGAGCAAAGAAGCTAATTGTTGTGTTAACCCTAGAAGAAAGCGGCCCCCTCGTCCTTTCTTATACTTAAAAGGTGCATCGGTTTGCCTAGCTAGGCCTGACAAGGAGGCGCGAGTAAGGAAGAAGATAGCTGAAACACTGGACTTTATAGAGGACGATGGTGGACGAAGGGTCCAAAGAGACCTTACAAAGGAGACATGGTAGGCGATTGGTAAGGCAAGTTGATGTTCTAACTATAGTTTCTAGTTCGTCAAACTGAGAATGGTAGACCAGCAACCAGTGAAGCCGCTGGAGAAGTGTTTGAGGTAGAAGGTACCCATTGAGGCACCTTTAGTTTAACATCCACTTTAGTGCTATGACGGCTCAGCACGAAGGTGCTTACGAGACGCTACTGGGAAAACTTTAGCTACAAATGGCCAGAGTTGGGAAGGATTGGACAGCAAGCACACAGTCGATGAAGTAGAGATCCGGCCTAGGGTTACTCTGCACTTGCAAGACAGATCGAAGGAAGAAGTCGAGGCATCTTACATCCTACCCTCACCTGTGCTCATAGTCAAAAGAAAAATGTGAGAAATCGGTACACTAGATCCATTAGGCAATTGGACATTGATCAATAGAAGTCATGGAAGACAAGAAGAGAGAAAGTAAGCAAAGCATGTGATCGGTGGCACCTTTATCCAAAATCGAAGGTACTGATGAATGAACTGAAGTGAGACTAAGTGAAGTACATGAAAGTGTGGTGCTGGGCTGTGAAAGACCAGCTTGATTAGCAAGGGAATGAGAACTCTTAATCAAGGAGTTGCTTGCATTGTGCTTGTGGAAGTGGCAATTGAGGTTGGAGACATCTTTCTCACTTTACTTGAAGGGACTACTTGAGAAGCTGCAGACTGATTTCCTCCTAAAGTAAATGATGACTAGGAGGATAAGCATGAATCTTCTAATCTTTCTCCTTTGTGTGGCCGATCCATCTGCAGTGGTCACATGTGGGTCGACCACCCTTGAGTCATTCCCTCTTCTTTTGAAAATGCAAATTCTTCTCGCGGATCATCTATTTTTTTTAATTCCACTCTTGGCTATAAAAGCAGCTGAATCATGGTAGTTGTGAGGGCTTCCTTGCAACCACTTCTTCTTGACCTTTCTTGCAAGATAATCGATTAGGTAGTGGATCCATCAAAAGGATCTGACCACGTACGGCCGCATATGAATCATTGAGTCCCATTAAAAAGTTCATAATCAGATCTTACAGCATAGACTCACTATAAGATTCACTGCACTACAAGTACATATTAATATAGGACGAGAGTGATTGAGTTCATCACATAGTGATTTTAACTCAGTGAAAGAAGTGGCAACTTATTTTTACTCTCATTGAATATTCGAGATATCTCCTTGAATCAGAGTGAGGATCATTTAGTTGAGAGCAAGAAAAGGGCCGTGCGTTAGTAAGGGCTCTACTTTAGTCTTGCCTCCTGTCTGAGCTCCTGCTCTAGCTGCTAAAAAGAGTTCAAATGGACAGAAGAGAGTACAAAGGAAAATTTCATAGCTTTAAGATGATGAATCCCAAGTCCAAGATAAAGACTAGCTTGTTAGCAAGCAATCAATTGAATTGGTCTTTGGTTTGAGACCCTGATTGAAGAAGACTTTTTTTTAAAAAGCTGAGGTGTGGAAGGAGACCAAGCTACGAATATAGTTACGAATTTTAGTGCTGGTGGATCAGATATAGTATTTTGATTATGGTTCTAATTCAACAACTACCTCATAGTTAAACGAAGGGAATGGGTAAAAAGACAGACGAGAGATTAAATTAACCGAGATTCAGAAGGTGAAATACTTGACTTCATTAGTTTCAGGCGTCAAATGAAAGTGCTAGCTCTCCCTTTTTCTACCTGGTCATTCCTTCTTCTTCTTCAAGCTCAAGCTAGGGCACCTATTCATCTTCAACTCTTGCTTAGGGCTTTGGAAGAGAACAACCAACCTAGCAAAAGTAGATCGAAAGTTTCATATTTGACAAAGGTAGTGTTAGCTAAGTGTAAGTAAAGAGATCAGGCGTAGCGATAGAGCGGTTTTGTTTACGATTCTATTCAAACAGGTTATTGCACCTAAGTCAATCCCTCGTATCGACCTGCTGTCTTATGACGGGAAAGGCAATAAGTAGGTACAAAGCCTTTAACAAGCTTTCTTTGTTCGCACCTTTTAACCTCTGTTACAGAAGTGGAAGTATTTGTTGATAGTTTGCTCTCTTGCTAGAGTAGATATACACGGGTTTGGCTTGCCTAAATAGAAGTCATGGAACTAGTGATTCCCTTGCAATCTTGTCTTCCTACTATAACTATAGAAGGATCAGCGCACAGATCAGGCTAAAAGAAAAATCATTTGTTTGCATCATACTCTCATGTTCCTTTTATAACTCACGTGACATAATAGCAAGCATTACTCGTGCAATATTATCGTCATTATAGTGACTTAATTGAGTCATTAGCGAGTGTCACTAGAAATGGTTACTCAAGGACATAACCAATTTTCTCATGCCTGAGAACGATTCTCAGATTACGGTGGCAATCAAGAAAATTTGATTTGATTGTTGGCATCCAGTATGCCTCTCAAATACACACGGTTACTCATAATTCAATAAATATAAATGACGAAAAGTAAAAGAATGATATATAAAATACATCACTTAATTTAACATGATTTTTTATTAAATTAATTATGCTCCTACTGTTTAACTCAAATTTATGACACTCTCACATAAATTTATGGAATCTATACTTGACTCCCTGTAGGCTGGGATCCCATTTGTTATATTAAGACCTTAAGTATATTCAACAAGCCTTAATAAAATATTTAGGTAGATATTATTATCAATTGTATCTCATACAACTCTCGAATCATTAAATTGACAACTCTTTGTCTTCATACATGTTATGTATTAGCTCAACATGTCTCTAAAACTTATATCTTTGAGTGTACTCAACAAGATGAGATCGATTGAGGACTCTGATGTATGTATATATATATATATATATAGTATGGATGATTATGAACTAATTCTATCTAGCCTTCTCAAGCCAAAAAGAAGACTAGTTGGTCAATTCCTATGGGATATTACATTGAATTAATATCAATACGCCATCTCTATAGTTTCCTCCTTTCTTCTGTCTTCAATTAGTCCAACTACAACCTGTATTCTATACTGGTTAGCACGTAGGTCTAAATGAAATTGGACTAGCAAGTCCATAATAATAATAATAATAATAGCAATAACAAACTCTCAGGTCCAAACAAATAAGAGCTTGTAGGACCATAATAATAACAATAATAACGGACTCGCAGACCCAAAACAATTAACAGCTCGTAGGCCCACAAAACGACAAGAATTAAAATCAACCATTCAACATATCCACACGATCGAGTCCATAATCATCCATTAAATAGACATTCATCATATAAATGTTCTCCTAAATAATATCTAATATTATATGTAGACATATTTCAAGAATCTAGCAATTATAGTCGTCCAAACTATTTTAGACAAATGGATTGAAACAATTAATTAATTAATCATATTAATCACTTAATATAATTAACGGGTATATTTAATTAAAATCAAATTTTAATTATGTATACCAAATTCGAGTCCAACTCTAATTCCAAAATTATGGGGCAGACTATTTAATTAAAAT